GCATGTCAAGAACTATCGGAATGCATATTGTTAACCCCAAAAAGTAACATTTTACTGTTTTCGCGCTTGTTCGCAAAAACCATGAGAGTTAGGCTCAAACTGACTTGACCCATTGGATTCTACGTGGTTGATTACCTACATTAATGTTGTTTGTACAATCATTTATCATTCCGAGTCTCAGATAGACGAAAAAATGAAATCCACTGAAAAATTTCGACGCCCCGCACCTTTAACAGTGTCATGAAACTGAAAGTTTACAGTTTCACCTGTGGTACAATAAATAATCTCTTCAATTGGTTTGAACGAGCATGGAGCAACATTTTCGAGTTGAAAAGTCACAATTTTGATCTGTAATGCTCGAAACGTCAAGTACAAACATTGACGACCCATTCAACAAACATCACTCCCCCCCCCCCCCTTTTTGCACTGTTTCTATGGTCTCTGCCCTGGGTTTCGGTCACAAAAGCGGCCAGTTCTAATCGTCGGCCAATTGCGAAACATTTGTGTCTTTGCATCATTTTTGTGTTGATTTGTGACTGATAACTGGAGGGTTTGCAGTATAAAAGATGGGCAGAACACGAGAAAAACTATAGTTTTATGTACGTTTCGGAACCTTTTTATTACCTTATTTTTGTGTTTCAGATGAAGTCTTCTCTTCTCCTCCATCTTCTGTTATTGATTGCCACGTCGGCATCGGTGGTGGAAACCTACAAAATACTATTCTACACCAACTTGTTCGGTCATAGTCATGTGAAAATGTTGGCGGCGGCGGCTGATGTTCTCACCGATGCGGGTCACAATGTGGTGAGTGTAACTTGAGAACGACAAGGTATGCGGTAAAATGATCAATTACAAAGTTGTAGAGCACAAAATTTGCAACAACTTTTCTGTTGATCATTTTCTGAAAAAGTCACAGCATCTTGAGATAAATCGGTTCAAACTTGAGGTTATAGGAAAAGTGATGTAAACTCTGAATTTTCAAGTTGTAGACATTCAAATTTATGAAAAATCGAAATTTGTGGACAATGTATTGAAGCTAGAAATGTTTGTGAATCGACAGTCAGATAGTTTAGTGATGTTTGTGAAACAGTGAGTGTTATTTTTAAGGACCACTATTGATTTTTAGGATCTTCGGCTTATTTTGCTGAAAAACGAAGAATTCATTTTTAGACGGTCCTAATGCCAGTGTTCGCCCAAAATCTCTCAACATCACTCAAGTCGACGAAGAATACAATATTCGTAGAAGCCACGGAGGAAGTTGCCAATTTCGCAAAGCTCCGGAAGAAGTTTATGGCGAACATGTGGATGGAGGACAATGCAAACCCGCTGAACCTGCTCAAGGTTCAAAGTGATATATCTCGGCTGCGAATGGAGATATCAAAAAGTTGTCAACTAGACAATTGTTTATCAAGAAATTGTGCACATTTTGCTAGTTGACAACTTTTTGATATCTCTATCGACAGATGAGTTATGGTCGGTAGAAAAAGTGTTTGTTTCAGAGGCTGGATACATTGTCGAAAGTGTTCAGATCTCAGTGCAAACAAGTGTTGTCGCAAAGCGATTTGATTGAGAAGTTGAGAGCCGAGAACTATGATTTGGCGATCACGGAACCATTTGACACTTGTGCTTATGGTAGGTTTTAGGGCAGGAAACATTTTTACCGCATCATCTCATCGTTGCAGCCTTCTTCGAAGCGATCGAAATCCGTGCGCACGTGGCGGTGCTCTCCAGTTCCCGTCTGGATCATGTCTCTGACGTCATCGGCCAACCGGCGGCGCTCAGCTACAACCCGGGCCTTCTTTCGAACAACGGCGAGCGAATGACGCGGTGGCAGCGGTTCGTGAACGCCATCCAATACGCCTCCGGCTCCTACTTCTTCGGATACGTCGGCGATCAGGACGCCGCCATCGCACGCGACATCAATGCCACGTGGCGGTCGTGGCGCGACACGTTGCCAGAAGCCTCGTTCATCCTGACCAATCAGATCCCGTTGCTCGACTTTCCGGCGCCGACTTTCGATAAAATAGTGGCGGTCGGCGGGTTGTCCGTCAAAACGGACCGAAAATCGCTGAAACTCGAGGAGAAATGGAGTCGCATTCTTGATGTTCGCAAGAAGAACGTCTTCATTTCGTTCGGATCGAATGTGAGATCGGTGGACATGCCCGACGAGTACAAGTAAGTGAAAACTTGTTTCAAAAATTTGGACATTTCAACAAAAAATTCTTCGGTTTCATGAAGCAACAACATTTTCGAGTGTTCTTCAGACTTTTTTGATCCGCAACACGGAACCCCAGCCCGTTCCAATAAAAAATTCCCTTGGCGCAATTCACGTGCGCTAAACAAGGCGCGTAACGCGTAATTCCGGAGCGTCGTTGTAGAGTTTCTCATTTCAATTTTCCCTTTTTTTGCATTATTCCCATCTTTTCAGAACCAATCAGTGTCAAAACTTATGATAATGATTAGAAATGAATAAAAAATGAAATTTTAACTGCTTCGTCATCAATTTCGAAACGTTTTATGTGAAAATTACAGAATTTTTTTCGTTTTGGAATCGAAATTATCTCAATTCTGTATATTTTTCGACGGTTGAGCGCTTAAAAGATGCGCAATAAACTCCTTGTTGACTGGACGGTTCGAATGCCAGTGTCCGAACTCGATTTTCGGCAAATAATCGTTAAAACTCCGTTTTTTTTCAGTAGTTTTCGACAAAATCCCTCAATTTGGTCAATTCTGAACGAATCTGCTCCGTTTCGCGCTTAAATCGATGCTTTTAACTCAGAAAATCACCCTACGGTTCGCAAAGAACAAAATTTGAGTGTTTATCAAGAGAAAAACGGAAGAATTCTGGGTTTCAATTCAAAAAAGAAACTCCGAGCCGACGGTGGATGCAAGCGCGCCCCATTGACAACTCGCTTGCGCATTGGAATGCTGGGGTTCCGTGCGCAATCCAAAATGTCTCGAAAATATTGTCAGTTTCAGCAACGCTTTATTGTTTTACTCGAACATCCAGTATTTCAATCATATTTCTGTCATTTACGCATCTCCAAACATTTCCAGAAAGTCACTTCTGCAAGTGTTCGCCTCAATGCCGGACACGTCGTTCATTTGGAAGTACGAGGACGCGAACGATCCGATTGTCGACCATTTGGACAATGTCTATCTGGGCGAGTGGCTTCCGCAGAACGAGCTGCTCGCCGATCCGCGGTTGAGCGTTTTTGTGACTCACGGAGGACTCGGATCCGTCACCGAGTTGGCGATGATGGGAAAACCCTGTGTTATGGTGGGTGTGTGTGTGTGTGTGTCCGAGTTTATGTGTCTGACTGAATTGCTTTTTATTGCCATATTCACTGTCCGAGCCCCAGCGCTTACAGTCAAAGTTGTGGCCGTGGCCCAGAAAAGTTCTAGGCCGTGTGATGTTTTCCGGATTTTTTTTGCGTTCGGCCGAATCTTCATACGTTGCAAAACATTCACACAAATCAGCATCCACACATAATAGCGCAAGAGCATCAAACTGCTCACAGGGAAGAGTTTTCACACCGGAGTTTCCTAGGCCACGGCCACAACTTCAACTGCACGCCGTTTCGTTCATTGGCATTTCTGTGAGAGTCAGCATTTCACCAGTGTATGAGGCAATAAGAGACAATTCAAACAGACACAAAAAAAAATTTCACAACAAAAATCAAAAAATTTGAGGGTTCTCAAGTCTCGGAAAACCCGCAAATCTCGCGGATTTTGCAGTCCAAAGTCGGCAGAAAATTGCGGGAAATCCGGGGAGCGCACAGCTGAACGAGTGTTACCGTACACCATAAAACTACGGTATTTTTTGAAAAAATTTAAATTTCTCGAGAATATTTGAAATTTTTCAAATTTCTTGGCTAAATTTTCAACGGTATTTTTTGAAAAAATTTAAATTTCTCGAAAATATTCGAAATTTTTTTCAAATTTCTTGGGTAAATTTTTCAACGGTATTTTTTTGAAACATTTTTAAATTTCTCGTGAATAATTGAAATTTTTTTCAAATTTCTTGGGTAAATTTTTCAACGGTATTTTTTTTGAAAAAAATTTTTAAATTTCTCGAGAATATTTGAAATTTTTTTCAAATTTCTTGGGTAAATTTTTCAACTGTATTTTTTTGAAAAAAATTTAAATTTCTCGAAAATAATTGAAATTTTTTTCAAATTTCTTGGCTAAATTTTTCAACGGTATTTTTTTTGAAAAAAATTTAAATTTCTCGAGAATATTTGAAATTTTTTTCAAATTTCTTGGGTAAATTTTTCAACGGTATTTTTTTTGAAAAAAATTTAAATTCTTCGAGAATATTTGAAATTTTTTTCAAATTTCTTAGCTAAATTTTTCAACGGTATTTTTTTTGAAACAATTTAAATTTCTCGAGAATAATTGAAATTTTTTTAAATTTCTTGGGTAAACTTTCAAAAAAATACCGTAGTTTTATGGTGTACGGTAACACTCGTTCAGCTGTGCGCGCCCCGGATTTCCGCAAATTTCTGCGAGATTTGCGGGTTTTCCGAGACTTTGGACGCGCGGCATAGTCCTTTTATTTGCGTTCCAACCCCAAGCGGATCTTTTTCACTTTTTGCAGGTGCCCCTGTTCGCCGATCAATCCCGCAACGCTCAAATGCTCAAAAGACACGGAGGAGCGGCGGTGCTCACCAGACCGGACCTCTCCTCTCCGGATCCGCTCCGTCAGACCCTCGAAAATGTGATGAGCGAGCCGAAATACCGTCAAAATGCGGAGCGTCTCGCCGAAATGCTCATTAATCAGCCGACAAAACCGCGCGAGACACTGCTCAAATACGTGGAATTCGCGGCCAGGTACTGTAAATGACTGTTTTTGTGAAATTCGAAACCGACAATCTCAGATTCGGAAAACTGCCCTCGTTGGACAACTACGGACGGCATCAGAGCTACATCGAGTATTACTTTCTAGATATTATCGCTCTGCTCGTTGTGGTCACGTCCCTCATCGTCTATTTCAACTATCGAGTTGCGAAATGGGCGATGGGGCGGTGGAGAAGTGCGGAAAAGGCAAAGAATGAATAAGATGAGGAACGGATTACTGTAGACTCCCGAATGATCTCTATTTGAGTGTGTCTTGTCAATAAATCACTTTTTAAAATTTGAAAACCGACTACCCCGTAAAACCCCGCAAAACCATCGATATCGCTTTGAAATTGAGCATGAAACATTGAAAAACTCCTTTCTCAACTCAAAAATGTTTCGTCCGACGCTCAAACCCGTCGACTGTGTAGCCCTGACCTTTTCCCTCTATCTTTATATCCATTACCATCTAAAATGGTCCCAACACCGCATATCTTGATATGCGCGGGGGCCCATCAAGGCCAAACACCGCACACAAACATCCGCCAGTCTCGGTATTCGGCGATTCCAATGAGAAACCCGCTCGTTTTTACTCTTCTTCTTCTTCTCCACTTTACAACAGGTAATTCCATTGAAATATTGTCGATTCGCATTTATTGTTCAGTGTGTGCCTTCTCGGTCCTCGGGGACCACTATCAATACCGTGTGCACTACCTGACACCCATACAATATTCGAGATCTGACGACAACTTTGACGACGAGCCGCTGACGAATTGTTGTACGGAAACGGCGAAACTTGATGTGCATTCGTACGGGCGCGACTTCAAATTGAGACTGCAGCGGGCGTGCCAGACGGCGAAAGACGAGGAATCGACTGGAAATGCACAGTTTACGGACGGAGGAGCCGGGTGGCAGGGACAGTTGGAAGGTGAGTGGACTTTGAGGGACCGTAACAGAGTTAGCCACTTTCCTAATGTTTCGTAAAGTTATTGGGTGCAATCTAGAGACCTAGTAGAGCATTTTGTCAGTTGATCACTTTTTTCTACCACTTTTCCTAAGCCTACTGTAGCGCTTGGAAGTTTGCTTACCATTTAAGGGTCTCATAACTTCCATGAGCTACAGTAGGCTTAGAAAACGTTGTACAAGAAAGTGGTCAACTGGTAAAACAAAGTACTAGGTGTGTAGATTGTGCTCAAACGTTTTTGGCACGATTTGACGCACTCTAACTGTTAACCTTATTCAAAGTTACTTCAACCTGGGTACTTCCAATTTAATTCGAGTATATCATGTGTTTGTGACAGTAAACTAGGATTCAATTCAACTTTTTACTAGTTTAGCACGTTGATTTACGGTTTCAGTAAACCTATAACTTTACACTTTTGCATGTTCAGTATTCCTTTCAGTTGGACAATATTAATAACTTTACGAAATCGAGAGCAATTTCAGTACAATCACCAGCGAATCAGTATGGAAATTTTGTATCTTACTAATACAGAAAAGACAAATTTAACTCGATCGCCATAAAAGATGTGAAAAAGGTGTCAACTGATAAAATGTGCACAATTTACTGATGAACATTTTAGCAGTTGACAACTTTTCGATATCTCTACCGGCAGCAGAGTTACACACCGTATTCCAGACGAGCCCACGTCTACAATAGCGGGAGAGTTCAAAAACGGACTGTTCGTCGGAATCATAATGACCGGGGAGCACAAATTCATTATTGAGACCAAGACTCCGTAAGACAAGTCTAAGACTGTTTTTCGATTAGTAAAGTGGGTTTTTTAGGCCCGACGAGAAGCCGTACTCTCTTTTGTTCCGAGTCCCACCCAGACGGACCGTCGAAGTGCACGTCTTCAGAAAAAGCGAAGAGGGCAGTGGCACTGAGGATGTAGGCCTCGCAAGTGGATCCGAGATGGAGTGAATCAAGATTTTTATTGTTGTTTTCTTTCTTTAACAAAGTTTTTTACAATAAACGTTACGTTTTGAACCGAAAACTAACATATTTTGTGATCAATAGCTCGCATTCATTGGTTGAGGAAGAGATTAGGTCAAACTTGATACAAACAAGTAAAATTCCAAACCTATCACCCAATCTTTCCGTTTCACACCTCGATCTTTTTCGACCTTTTCAAGTGATCGAATATTGGTAGATGACAACTCATGTTTTGTCAGAAATGTTGCCAAAGTGGCAGAAAAGCGAAAAATGAGTACGAATCTCTCTTTTGTGATTGTGTGTCTTTCCAATAATTTTCACTTCTCTTCCCTTCTCTTCTCTTGTCTCCTAATGAAAATGTTTATAAACAAGTAGAGTTTGGCGGCCGCGGAACGACCTAATCCACACGGCCCGAGGCGATGAAAAATGGTTAAATTGTGCCTTTTCTGACTTTGTGACGTCGTCGCCCTTAATTATTTCCATCTTCGTGCTCCTGATGATGAGCTTATGAAGCGTGCTCTCGGTTTTCCCATCAATTTTTAATTCGTTCTTGTCCTTTTTCACATTTCTTGGTTCCTTATCGAGAAAAAAAAAATGCCATTTTAAGACCGAAAAAGTAAAGCGGAAAAGTTGTGACCCCGGTGGGGATCGAACCAAAACCAAAACTTCGCGCGGTTTACCAACTGCGCCACACACACACAGCCAATTTTTGAAAATTGCCGCGTACCCATAACCGTCAAGGGTTCATGCCAATTTTTAAAAATTGCCGCGTACCCTTAACCGTCAAGGGTTCATGCCAATTTTTGAAAATTGCCGCGTACCCTTAACCGTCAAGGATTCATGCCAATTTAAAGGTGGTGTCCAACGTGACATACAACATATTTTTAAGATAAACTTCGAAGTGGGGCATTCACTTTCCCAAAGTCCCGAATTACGAAAAAAATTCCCCGATTTTTAAGATTTTTTTCAAAAAAGTTAATGGTACCGAGTTTTTCTTAAATTTTCAATCGTTTTTCCACTGAACACACTTATTTGCAATATTTTAAAAAATTTATAATTTTATCTGTGCCGTGACGCCAAAAAAATCGATAATCTGAAACTTTTTTTTTGTTTTTCCGGGTTTTTCGCTCAATCTTCGGTTTGCGCGCTGAAAAATAAATAGAGTTTTACAAAAAGTGGCTGAATTTCTGAATTTTGCTGAATTTTGAAAGTTTCCGATTATCGATTTTTTTGGCGTCACGGCACAGAAAAAATCATAAATTTTTTTAAATATTGCAAATATGTGTGCTCAGTGAAAAAACGATTGAAAATTTAAGAAAATTGCACGAAAACAGAAAAAAATCGAAAAAAAGGGGAATTCCATCCGGGGACTAGAAAAATCTAGGCCGGCTCTTCCATTTCGCCGTGTACTTCTCTCGGTACCATTAATTTTTTTGAAAAAAATCTTAAAAATCGGGGAATTTTTTTTGTAATTCGGGACTTCGGGAAAGTGAATGCCCCACTTTGAAGTTGATTTTAAAAATATGTTGTATGTTACGTTGGACACCACCTTTAAAAAAATTTTTTTGCCCCCTTCTCTTACTGCAAAAAATATTTATAAAAAAGGACTCTGTTAGTACTTTCCAGTACCCCCTGGTTACGTCAAACTGCCTCTCTCTCCTGACAATTCGAATTTGTCCCTCTTCTTCTTTTTTTTTTGCGTTTTCATGCTGGCTACTAAGCGCGCCGCTCGATGATTTTTGTCTCATTCCCATTCAAGAATTCTAAGTCTTCTTTTTTTCGGACTTGAACCCTAAATTTGCATTAAAATTGTGACTTTTCTGAGATTTGATAGTTCCGATGCGAGATTTCATCGTGAAACACATCACAGCCAAAATGGCGTATTCAAAACGGTATATCTCAGTTGTGAATAGAGATGGCAAAAAGTTGTCAACAGATAAAAATGTTCACAAAGTCATTTTACACATTTTTTTCAGTTGATAACTTTTTTTGATATCTCCACTCGCAACTGAGCTACATCGCTTTGAAGAAGTGGTATTGAAAAACCTGTTTTTTTGTCGCGTGCTGCTCCTTTAACACCGTATTATTTTTGCTCATTTTGTAGTACGGTACTAAAGGCACAGCACGTAGGGACTATGAATTTTCGTTGCAACACCTTTTTCGGTTTCAAAAAGTTTATAACAAGTTCTTTTTTGCGAGCGGTGTCATTCGGTCTACGTCCGACGGACTTACCTTCAAAAAAATGTGTCCAAACATTTATCGAGAACTTATCGATACTTATAAAAAACATCCTAAAAATGGAAAAATGGATAAAATTGTGCCATTTCGCGTCACAAACCCATTAAAATTCGCCCCATCTGATTTTGACATTTTCCTTCCCATTTCGCCTCCTCCCACGCACTTTTCCCTTGTTCTTTTCTCTTATTCACTACGCCTTTCTCGCTTTTTTTCAAGAAAAAAATTTGACGAACAACTGTTCTCGTTTCGCTATTACTCATCACTAAAAATATGAAAAGAGAAGGTGGCGGGAGAGGGAGAATATAATGAGATTACCAGTTGTCTCTCTCCGTCGTTTTTGATGGCAATTTGTGCTCAAAAGACGGCGGAAAAAAGGCGGAGAAGGAGAGGAACATAATAAAGTTTTATTGTAGTTTCAGGAGAAGAAGAAGAAGAAGAAGAAGGGAGTTAGGACTCTTTTTTTTTTCGAGGCAGACACATTGATTTTTTTGCTGTTTTAACGGGGTTTTTATAGGGGAAACTATTGTAGCCACATAATAACAATGTTGTTCTTAACTGTTCTTAACTTGCTCAAATTCTCTGCATTCTCAATTAATCTAATATCGCTTTCATGTTTTCGGCCTGTAGTATCTATCTCCTGAACCTTTGTCAACTTTCAGGGACCGTAACAGTGCTCGCACAGCCTTACAATAGTTCCAAAAAGTGTTGAGCGTAAACTACACACCTAGTACTACAATTTTTCAGTTGACCACTTTTTTGTATCACTTTTCCGAAGCCTACAATAGCGCTTGAAAGAGAGTCTAGGGTATCAAAACTTCCAAGCGCTATTGTGCGCTTAGGAAAAGTGCTATCAAAAAAATGTAAATTGACAAAATCAAGTACTAGGCCCAAAGATTGGGGCGCAAACATTTCCAGAACAATTTGAGGTCTTCGAACTCTGCTGTGGTCCCACAAAGTTGACCCAATGTTCTCTGTTTCGAAATCGCTATTTGCTTTCCAGTTTTCCACCTCATTTTCAGTTTTTTTAATTACAGATGTCGTTGGATCCAAGACACACTTTTCTGTACGTCAATTCGAACAACGAGGCGATCCGGCTGCTCGATATTGGCTAGTTTATTTTTCATTTCTTGAGAAATTAGGCATACTAGTTGAAACATGCGATTTGAAACTGATTTTTCTGAGCCCTCAACATCTAGAACATTATTTTTTTGCGAAAAAAAGTCAACAGGTACTTGAACTCTCACTTCTTCTCTCCTCGTTTTCCATCTCGGCCATTTTTACGGCTTTTCGTCGAGCTTCTCCTTTTGTTCTCCATGAAAAGGCTTCTGGAGAAAATGTGAAATTTTGCAAAAAATTGGATTCTCAGTGCCAAAAATCTCTTAGCAGGCTTTTGGATTCAACGGACGCTAATCATGAGCACAAAGTTTGTTCTGGTCGGTTCAAATTCGCTATTGTCCATTTCTTTGATTTCTTCTCCTTTGTGAAACAGTACTTTTACCGTTTTTTTTTGTGTACGAATAAATCAGGTCTGCCGAGGCATGATCCGATCGGGACCAAACTTTGCAGACGTCTTGGACTCCGAGTTTCAGCAATTTTCATCCAATTTTGAGCATTTTTTTGGGGGGAACCGCTCAAAAAGTGTCGTTTCCGGTAATCCTCGGTTTCTCTAAACATTTCCTCGCGATTCGTTTCTAATCCCTCCCTCTCTCGGCTCCTTCTCCACCTTCTCCGCCTCAATTTTTCACCCATTCCACTCTCTTTTTCTGCTGCGGGTAAACCGACCGAAATCGTCGAAATGAATATTATCGAGTTGCTTTCAGGTAGCGTTTACACTGTTTCTCAACGTTTTTATTGGTTCTGACACATTTTGACACAAATAATAATAATAACACATTTATTCTCTTCAGCCACCTAGGAATAAAAATTAAAAAAACAAAAACAAAAAAACAAAAACAAAAAAACAAAAACAAAAACAAATGCAAGTAGTCTTTAAAACTTTTTCCAAGCTTTTTACTATTTGTCTAAAAATTAGAAATGCCCTGATTTGATAAGGTAAGGACAAGTCTAAAAATAAAAATTAAATTTTTTTGAAAAAAATTAATTTTTCAAATTAATTTTTTTAAATTAAATTAATTAATTAAATTAAGTTTTTTTGTCTAAAAATTAGAAATGCCCTGATTTGAGAGGGTAAGGACAGTAAAGACAAGATTTGGCATCAAAAGACACCAAAACGTTAAAAAAAAAACGATAGGGACTATAGAAAAGTTGGAATTATATTAAATTCAATGCTAGTTTTCATTTTTTTGCGTGAAAAAAACAATAAAACAGTACGCTTCATGGATTTTACAGATTTTACGGCTTCTTGAAACTGTAAATTTTCGTTTTTACGGATTCGTTAACAAAAAATAATTTTACGCCCTATCAATTTTCGGCGATTTTGACCAACTTCTCGATAGCGTTTTGAAACGATATAGAAAATTTGGCACTTTTCCGAAACGGTACCCGTTTTTCAGGGGATTCTTTCTTAACCGACCGCAGAACTATGTTTCGCATCAATTTTCGTCGGTACCGTCCAATTTTTTGGCATCCTCTTGAAACAACAATCAACACCACTATTGCGCGTTCTCTCTTTTAATGTCTTTGTGAAACAGAGTAGCACGTTTTCTTTGAAAAAATGGAAAAGAAGCGAAAAATGCCAAAAATCAGCCGGAAATCGAGTCTAGTCGTGGAAAAATCACAAATGACGACAT